TATTGACTGGTTACTAGTTACCTGCATGCAAAATTTAGTTAAATGTTGGAAACAATCCTGAGCTTAGGTACTTGTGCATACAAGTGAAATACAACATTAAGACTAGCTAGTTTGAAATGTTGTGATAAAAATGATACTGGAGTGATTTATGCATGCAAGAAATGTAATTGATCTACACGCATGTGATATTTGCTATCGCTGCAGTTTGAAGAAGTGGAATTTGGGACCTCAACACATGTTCCTAAACTGTTAAATATATATGAAAATACTACCAAGTGAGTAATTTATGCTTTAATAAAATAGTTACAACCGCCCCCACAATCAACTCTTAACATTTTGAACAGAAGAAGACATTACTAAAAGCTGATTGTTTTGTGCCATATCGCAAGTGCAACATCATTGGAAATTCACAAACAATAAAACTAGAGTACCATTTAATTGTGAAATTAAGATGAATAGTTTCTTTCAGAATGAAAGATTTAAATACACTTTTTCACACAATACAACAAAATATGTATCAAGAAAAATAAAAAATAAAATAGTCTAATGATTTGTAAAATTAATTGTTTGATAATATATCATGTCACACATGATTTTAAAAACTGAAATAAATAAGTTGTGAATTAAAAGATTCTCTTCTTGTGTTAAAGCAATGTGGGAACTTGATAGCACGCGTAAATCAAGCTGATTATTATGAGTGCACTGTTGAAACCTACAAGAAAATAAGAAAGCTTTCTGTGTGAGATAGGAAGAGAGATCTTAAACATGCTAATCTTTCTTTGTCCTAAACTAGCATTTCCCACCCCACTACTCAAAGTGTTAGCAATTTGAGTTTGCTTTGATGCTTTCTATGTCACTATCTAATCCTCGTCTCGTCTTACCATAAAAATATGGGATGATCTATTGTTCCCATTATGACACTAACTAATCCTCATCTTCTTATCTAACCGTGGTTATATCAACACAATGTGACCCTTAGTTTATTGGGCAACTTTGAAAAGTATAAAAAAAAAAAATCCACATTATCATAATGATTATAAATTAAGAGTTTCCAACAAAATATATAATAATTATTGGATTGGAAAAAGGCCCTGATATCATGAGGTATGTCTCTTTCTAATGATTTCAATTGTTTAATTTTTTACAATTTAAATTGCACAATTTTTTTTTTGAAAAATTGAAAGTTTTAAATATATTCAACAACATACTTCCTTAGTTCATGTTTAATAGATATAGTTTCCTATTTGGGGCATTCAAATTTAATCGTACACTTCTCATCTTTAAGATATTATTTAGGATAATGATTAATACACTTTCTAATTCAATACACTTTACAACACAATCATTAAAAAATTATTATTTTTAATTTGAATTTAAAGCAAGAAAAATCTTAACTATAAGATTTAATGATTGAACCTATGAGTATTGAAAAAAGTGTTGAACCCAAAGATGCGCTAATTATGAACACTGATAAATATATTCTCTGGTTCAATATAATACACAGCAAATTTAGTAAAAAATCATTGTTTTTTGTCTAAAATTAAAAGTAAATAAAATTAAAAGTAGATAAACTTAAAGATGCAACCATACATGCAGAATGTAGAAATTGATTGAATTAATCTATAATTATATTAAATTTTAATAGTTGAACCAAATGAGTGTTAGAGAGTGTGTTAAATCATGTGTTTTAATCATTTTTCACTTATTTTACTATCATTTAATGTGCTTATTCCTATTTATCCTTATTTTAAAAAGTTATTTGCAATATATATTAAATAAAAAGTCTAATTTAAGTTGTACTTAATTAGTGATAAATATAAAATTTTATCAATAAATTATCATATCCCTATTTTATTCAATAAAAAAACTAGGTCTACTAAAAATGAATAGGAGTAATAATTTTTCTTCTTTGTAAAATCAAAATGAACATATGCCAATATAAACTAAATAGTGGTTGACTCAAAATTTGAATTGAATTAATGACTATGAATTGAGATGAGTTCCAAAAATTTCATTTCAGTTCAAGCAACAAAAAATGACCTATTATTCTAATGAATGAATGAATCAAGGGCATGCAGGGATATTCGGCATATACTTTATAAATATTATATAGCTCAATGAATATGAAGTTTGGAAAAATTATAAGAAAAAGAAAAGTGTTATCAATTGGCATGACCTATTTATTTCTAGTCTCCCACTCAATAGAAAAATAAACATTTTATATCGATATCAGAAATTTTAGAAAGTTTGATGAGATTGGACCACAATATACCCTAAAGTTGGAAGTTTTAAATTAGTAGTAATAAAAAAATTTTTAATTTTTAATTTTCTAAAATTATATATTAAATAGAAAAATGTCATGTCAGTAAAGTTGGTTGAATTTTTGTTTTGTTTCTTTTTTTTCTTTTGAAATTCTTGTCCTAAATGTTAGGTAAGTGAAAATGACTAGGTTTATTTATTATGACATTAACTTTATGAATTGTTTAGACTTTCCTTATAGAATCTATTTAATCCGTTAAAATAACAGAGCAAATAAAAATTATAAATCCACTTGTGTTGTGACCATAGAAACCTAAGCATATAATATTTAATTGAGTCTTGTATTTTAGCTTCTTGATTTCTGTTGTTTGGGCTATAAGTTTTGAATTGGTAGTTGAGTTTTTCCTTCTTCTCCCATGTGGCAACACAACATATTTAAGAAACTAAAGAAACAGTTAACAGGTAATTCGAATTCCGAAATAAAATTTTCAAAGTGAAAGCTTCTACAACTTACCCAATAGGTGTGTGGCACAACAATAAACGACATCTATCAGGACATGTGCTTAGGTGCACATCTTGAACACGAACCCTCTCCCATTGCTTGTAAATTGTATCCCTCACAATTTCATTCAATGCTGGGCCTTTGGGTGAGCTAGGTAGCCCGGGGTTTGGTGTTTAATGAGGTAGGTTTGGGTACAGAGAACCTTCCTTCCTGAAATTCCAGCATATGAGGGCATCATTCAAACTACAAGGAAGAACAAAGGCATCGTCAACATAGTTGCATAAAAGATGATGTTAAACCGTAAGGTGACATTTGGGACTAAAATAGGAATAATCATAAAATTAAGCTACTTAATTTTTTATGTTGATGATGAGGAATTTAAACCAGAATGCACATAATATGAATAAAATTAAGTCTCAAACTCAGATGTTATTTGATCATTATGAATTATGAATAAAATTATTTCCTTCAACATTTTAAACAAAAAACTATATGCAATATGATATTATATTTTATATTAAATAATAAATCAAACTTATCATATTAAGTTGTAATAGTTAACCCAATTAGCTGCAAATAAAATAATGGTGCATTAGAAAGTCCTAATTGAAGTTTCAGGGACAGTAACCCAACGAAGAAATATCAAATTATCCTTTTCAAGCACACAACCCATTAATCGACCCATCGTCAAATCCCCAAATTGATCTTCTTATGCTAAAAATCCAATAAATTACTCAAAATTCTCTTTATAATATGAATAACAAATGATAACGTGCCTTAAATTCCACAAGATGATATTGATAATTGTCAGAATTTGGGTTGATGTAAAAGCAAGATTGAAGAACTGCGAATAGAAACAGTTTGTTTTTCTATTATGCATTCGATGAGATGGAGATGGGCTGATGGGGAGTCAGAAAAGGCGAAAGGCAAAGTAACCGGGTGACCGCATCGAAGGTTGCGTGGTTTTCTCATGGACAGCTGAAAAAGCGTAGATTAATAGGCCGATGGCCCAACCCATGAACACAACACTAAGCCCATTTAAGGAAGTTACAAACCCAGAACATAGCAGACCTCCTCATCAAACTCTTTAGATTTAAGACATAGACTGTGGAGCCGAAGTGGCTGGGCCCAATTTTGATTTTATTTTATTAACTCATAATAAACTTGAAAAATAGAGGACAATCTAATAAAAATACATGGATAAGATTTAGGTTTCATTTCTCAATACTGTGTTTTTGTTAAAAAGAAAGCTTTAAGAAATGAAGTCAATAGTAAATTTGACAAGATTGTATATCTTTCAAAAATATTTAGAAAAATCAAAGATGAATTAATTGCAACTAAACTAAAAAGATAAATTTTATGCATTAAAAATCTTCTAAAATGATAAATTTAAGGAATCAAAATAAACATTATACAAGCTAGGGAAAACATCAAATTCTAACTAAAAATAGTTGTGTCAAAATTATTAAGACTTTTTTTTTATTATTATTATTTATAGTTAAGTATTCTTGATCTAGCTTTTGTTCACTTTAAGACTTTTTTTATTTACTAAACTTGTGACTTCAGTAGAAAAATAAATTTACTACAAACCTCATTATTGCAACCATATTCATTTGCATCCGTGATCTCTCCAGGGTAGAGTCTTATCTATGGAAAAAAAAAAAAAAGGAAAGAAAAAGGAGAACCTCATGTTTGAGTCTAAGAGAACAAACATTTTGTAAGGGTTTTAGTTATATTTTAGAAATAAAAAAATAAATAAATAAACAACCATTAGATCATGAACAAACTCAGCTACAAGTTGTAGATAAATTGTACTAGAAGACATCAATAAACTACAGCCCTTAGCAAAATGAATACAGCAATATTAATAGAATTAATCATCAAATATGAAACCCCCCAATGACACACTTCATCTAAGTCTCAGATTCCATGATTCAAAGGAAGCAAAGTAGATGTGGCCACTCAAACGGTACTTCTCAGTTCCAGTGCTCTATCAATTAATTGAAAAAGTCAAGAGCACCTTAAATTCTTCCATTTAAATCTTAAAATTGTAATTAATGTGAGTAAAATCTCATACTCCAAACAAAAAAAAAAAAATTAAAAGAGAAATTCATATGAAAATTGAATTTTTGTTTTCCGTTGTGCCTCTTCTAGCAAACTTGAATAAAGGCAGATTGTCCCAAAAAAAATCATATATTAAAAAAAATTCATAAAAAAGGCAAGAAACAGAAAAGGGAAGAAAAACCAATGAAATTAATTAAAAGAGAATGAAGTGAAACAAAAGAACAAAAACATAAGCTCACCAAAAGCCATAGTAGAAGAGATGAGAAACTAATAAAAGAAGACTGAAGAGGTTAAAAAAGGAACAAAACATAAGCTCAAAGATTCTCTTCCATTGATTTTTTCTGCTGATGGCCACATTTGTCACAGCAAAGCTCCCAAAGGAAAATCTATTTGTCATCTACCAAACCATATATATGCAAGAATAAAAAGAAAAAGAATGTCAATTTCTATGGTTCAAAGATTCATTATTTATTAAATATTTTAATTTAGACAGATCTTGTTTTACCATCTTGTGTGAGACTATTAGAGAAGGAGATCAAAAGGCTTGTTACAGAGAGAACAGAGAACACCTAAATCAAAACCCCCATTTGAAACCATCCTTGCAGATTTTGCTTCTAGATTCCCCCTATTGCACTCAGTCACCCAGCATCAGAAAGAAAGAAGAACTCTAGACACACACAACTCATCCTTAATATCTCATCAGAAACTGAATAATCTGTCATAAATTCATGGACAAACAGAAATTAATAATTGCTTTTGTGGAAGTCTACAAAAATTCAAATTGCCATCTTGGTGTTATCTGATCTTTTATGTGAGGACTTTGAATCAAATTGAAAAACGATAAACTATCCACAGCTAATTTAAGAATAATTAAAGACAAGGTTAGAATGAACCACAATTAACAATAAAACAAAAAACAATATATAGAATACAATTCACCAACACAAAAAACTTAACTCCTTGAGAAACAGTGAAGCAAAGTAGAAATCCCCACTTCAAAAGGGATCATTTCTTACATTAAACCTTTTTAATTGTAACGCAAAATTTTACCATTGGAGATATACAGGTGTTTCCCTAGGTATGCTAAGGGTATACATAGAAGATAAGAGACAAATTCAGAAAGAGTACAGATATTTCCACTAACCATAAAGACAGTGCCAGATCGAAACAGCCAAGCAGGAAATAGCAACTTTGGGTTTGAGCTTCGTTTCTTCCAATCCAAACACTAAAATGAAAACAAAATAGTTAGTAATT